AGGTTAGATCAGCTCTGAAATCACCCTAAAATCTTGCCTTTTTTGGACAATCTAGGCTGGTTTGTGGTCAAATTGCAGTGTGTGCATGTGGACTTTATCCTTGGTGTTTCTTGGGCTATTTGTTTGATGATAGGAGGGATCATAAGGTGTGTGTAAGGTCTGAAAGGTGTTTGAATCATGTCCTCTGAGAATTCCGCAACTTCAGGAATTTCAGGAGGTTAAAATGGAATGAGTGGGGGAATGGATATGAGTTTCCCCATGGTTGCAATTCCCTTTGATGGACTAAACTATCTTGAATGGTCTAGGGGAATTAAACCTCATATTATTTCTAGAGGAAAAATTGGGTATATTAATGATAAAATCAAGGAACCAAAGATTGGTAGTGTTGAACATGACAGATGGGACCAAGAAAATAGCATTGTGATGTCATGGCTCTTGGTGAGCCACTTGCAAGCAAAATCTACCTATTCAGAACAGAGACACTATGCAAAGATATATCAATTACAAGCTGAATCCTCCATTTGCAAGCAAGGGGAGAGGAGTATCTCGGTGTACTATTCAGACTTGATATCAATTTGGAAGGAATTGGATCATTATCAAAATGTGAATTGGAAGTGCGATGAGGATGCAAAGGCCTACAAATCACTTGTTTCCCAGCAACGGGTATTTGCCTTTCTTTTGGGGTTGAATCCTACATATGAATCCATAAGGGTACAAATCTTAGGAAGTAAGAACCTACATTCAGTCTAATAAGTTTATGCCCTAGTTCAATCTGAAGAGAGCAGAAGAAGTGGGATGAATTGTACAGAAGTGGAACCGATTGTACAAGCTATTGGAGGGGGTACAAGTTCAAATGTTGGAGGTTCTTTTAAAAAGGGAGATTCATAGAAGATAGTGGATCACAAAGACAAACTTTGGTGCACTCACTGTCAAAAGTCTAGGCACACTAGAGATACGTGTTGGGATCTTCATGGAAAGCCGAAATGGGCTCAGGAATTGAGTAAGAAGTCTGATTCGAGTAAAAAGCCAACCCAACAGAGTCAGAAGAAATATAACTCAGCAAATGTGGTATCTCAAGAGACTAGTCCCATGGTACCCTAAGAGCGACACTCTAGTTCTGACCCCAAGGAAGAGATCATCAACTCCTTTCGTGACCAATTGGAATTATATGGTAGGGCACATTGCCAGATGGATTTTGGCCCTACTCCTCTACCTCCTTTGTGTCTACAGCAGGTAACACTGCCGTTGCCTTCCATGTGTCATATCATACATCTAATTCCCCTTGGATAATTAACGTTGGAGCCTCAAACCACATGACTGGTAAGTCAAATTTATTTCAGGCATATAACCTCCTCTCTGGGAGAAATAAGGTGAGACTGGTTGATGGGTCTTATTCCACCATAACCGGTCAAGGAACCATCTCCCTTCCTCTTGGTCTTACCTCTCTAATGTGTTGCATGTTCCTAAATTACTTTCCATTAGCAGTATTACTCATTCATTGAATTGTTTAGTGACCTTCTTTTCTTCTTCATGTGTATTTCAGGATTTGACCTCAGGGAAGACGATTGGTAGAGGAAGCATGATGGATGGCCTCTACGTGTTGGAGAATAAAGTTGGTCTTGTGACTACAAAGTCTCTAAGTTTTTCTAGTGAGAGTCATGCCTACTTGTGGCATAATCGTCTTGGTCACCTTTCGTTTGAGTCTTTAAAACTTATGTTTCCTGAGTTGTTTAAGTCTTTGTTAGTTAATAAATTGTAGTGTCATACATGCCAAACATTGTAGAAATTCATTTTCTTTAAGAAATAAAAGATCTGAATTTCTTTTTCATATTGTCTATTCTGATGTTTGGGACCCTATTTCTCTACCTACTGAGACTGGATATAAATATTTCATTACTTTGATCGATGACTACTCTAGATATACCTGGGTGTATCGTATGCAATCTAGAGATGAAGTGCCAAAGATTGTGAAAACTTCCAATGAATGGTTTTCACTCAATTTCAAACTGAAATTCACATTTTTCAGTTGGACAATGCAAAAGAGTACTTTCATAGTGATCTCACGGAGTTCTTTGCTTCATGTGGATCTCTTCATTGAAGCTTTTGTGCCAGGACACCTCAACAAAATGGTGTTTCTGAAAGGAAAAATCGTCATCTACTTGAAGTAGCTCGTGGTTTATTACTTCATATGAATGTTCTAAAACATTTTTGGATGGATGTTGTTATGTGTGTTGCATATATCATCAACTGTATGCCATCTCGGTTATTAGAGTATAAGGCCCCACATCAACTCTTGTTTCCTACAGCTCCATTGTCCCCCATTCCAATGCGTGTCTTTGGGTGTCGTTGCTTCGTTTATGACTTGTTTCCTACTCGTGGTAAAGTCGATCCCCATGCCACTCCTTGTGTTTTTCTTGATTATCTGTTATCTCAAAAGGGTTACCGTTACTATGATCCTATTTCACGCAAGTACTATGTCTCCATGGATGTATCATTCTTTGAGAGTCAACCCTTTTTCTCAATTTCTCCTCAGGGGGAGAGTAGGGTTGAGGAGAAACACACTCAAGTTTAACTACCTCCTCTTCCCGACCCTTCTCCATTTGGGGTCTTTTTCGCCGCCATAAGAGCCAGCAGAGTTCAAGAGCCGTGAAACCTGAAACTATGCAACCAATATCATTGGACTCTCCAGAGGTAGATCCTCCTCATCAACCAGGTACACTTGTTCCCATTGATATGCCTAGATCTCTTAACATTGATCCTCTTGTTGTTAATGATCTTGATGTTCCTATTGGTAAGAGAAAGGGTGTTAGGTCTTGTACTACTAATCATTCTATCTCTCACTTTGTGTCCTATGGTCATATTTCACCTTATACCGTGCATTTTTTTCCTCTATTGACAATGTCTCTGTTCCTAAGAATGTAGCAGAAGCTTTATCCAAGCATAAACGGATAGCTTCAATGAAGGAAGAAATTAATGCCTTACACAAAATTGGCACCTAGGAATTAGTGGATCTTCCTGAAGGGAAAGAACTAGTGGGTTGCAAGTGGGTATTCACAGTAAAGCATAGAGATGATGATTCAGTAGAAAGATACAAAACTAGATTGGTGGCATAAGGGTTTACACAAGTGTATGTAGTAGACTATGCAAAGACCTTTGCTCCAGTAGCCAAGATGAATTCAATCAGAATCCTCCTCTCACTCGCAGCTAACCTTGATTGAGAACTTCATTAGTTGGATATCAGGAATGCATTCTTGAATGGTGACCTAGAGGAAGAGGCTTACATGACTCGACCTCTAAGTTTCTGTGCCAAAGGTAGTGAGTAGAAGGTGTGCAAGTTAAAAAAATATTTATATGGGTTGAAGCAATTACCTCGGGCTTGGTTTACTAGGTTTCATTTAGCAGTGCAATAGATGGGATTTAAACAATGCCAGTTAGATCATACTTTATTTGTGAAAAAAAGGTGAAGGGAAAATTGCATCTTTAATTGTCTATGTTAATGACATAGTAATCACAAGAGATTGGAAGACTAAAAATACAAAAGCTGAAGAAATTCTTAACCACTCAATTTGAGGTGAAAGATCTAGGCCCCTTACGTTATTTTCTTGGAACTGAAGTTGTTTGCTCAAAAATGGGCATCTTTATTTCCCAAAGAAAATATGTACTAGATCTATTAGAGGATACAGGCAAGTTGGGAGTGAAACCAATTGATTCACCCATTGAACCCAACCATCATCAGCTAGGAGACAATCAGGGGGTGTGTTTGAAAGATGTAAAGAAGTTCTAAAGACTTGTAGGGAGACTCTTATATTTGTCTATGACCAGACCTGATATTGCCTATGCAGTGGGTGTTCTTAGTCAGTTCATGCATAATCCTAAGACAAATCTCTTTGAAGCTGCAAAAAGAATCCTTAAATACCTCAAGAAGTTCTCGGGAGCTGGTTTGCTTTTCTAGAAACATGGGCATTTGAAAGTGGAGGTGTATACAGATGCTGATTAAGTTGGGGCAATCGATGATAGAAAATCTACCAGTGGGTATTGTACCTTTGTAGGAGGAAACCTAGTCACCTGAAGAAGTAAGAAGCAAAGTGTGGTGGTTAGATCCAGTGCTGAGGCAGAATACATAACTATGTCTCATGGAGTTGCTGAAATGATGTGGATAAAAAATTTGTTAGGAGAATTGGGTTTTGCAGTTAACAAACCTATGTCACTCTATTGTGACAACAAGGTTGCTATTAACCCAGTCCTCCATAATAGAACAAAGCATATTGAAGTGGACAAGCATTTTATTAGAGAAAAACTTGTGAGTGGAGAAGTGTGCACTCCTTATGTTAGTTCAGATGAACAACTTGTAGACATCTTCACCAAGGGCCTTCAACACGTGCGGCATAATAATTTGTGTGACAAGTTGGGCATGATTGACATCCATGTCCCAACTTGAGGGGGAGTGTTGGAATGTTAACTTTATTTATTATGTTTGTATTCTGCTGAGTTAGGGTCCGTTTGACAAATTAAAGCAGTTTTTTCTTTTGTTTTTTTATGTTGTAACTTAAGTAGGGACATAAAGGTTCTTTCCCTTCTATTTATGGTCACCCTATATATATTAATATAAACTGGCGTCACCAACATTGTAGCGTTACTGTAGCAGACTCCAAATCTCTTTCTTCTCTTATCTCCTTTCTTCTCTCTTCTCTCTTCTCTCCTCTCTTCCTTTTCTCTTCTCCTACCTCTCTTCTCCTATGTTCCGCTGTTAATAATGATGTTTTGAATCTTATGTAAAGAATAATCGATAGTTCTCCATGTTTAAATCAAATAAAAATAAAAATCTTGATATTTGTTTATGTTATTTTGCTTTCTTTATTACTTATATATAATAGGAAATTATATTTGTTTATATTGTTCGTTGGCCCACAAGCCCGGCCGGGGCCGATGTTAAGCCACAATATACAAGGTGCTAAGCCCAGCCCGGGCCCGGCCCACCAACCATGATCAGTTGATCTTCTTCACCCGGGAATTCCTCGCTTCGAGATCGGCCTCCATTACAAAACCCACTTTCCCGCGTTCTTATTTTCCCGACAAAAATCTCTATAATCTGGTTTCATTTGTTCTCAGTCCACATTCAAAGCTCAGAACACTGGAAAGTGGAAACTGACTCTGTTTCACTTTGGTGTCGGAAATCTCTGTATTTCTCCCCATCTCTCTTCGCGTCTGGTTTAGTTTCTTGAAGCTTGACACGAGTGATGAAATGGGAGAGGGACCGAAGATGATGCCCAAGGCCTTCAAGGGCGCGAACGTGTTCATGTCTCGGAACCTCGTCCCGCCTGAAATCTTTGATGCCCTTCACGATGCCCTCAAGCAGAACGGAGCAGAAGTCTTTCTCTGCTGCGATCCCTCGCGGAACGGTCCCAACGATTATCACGTTATCTCTTCGCCCGATCACGTAAAATAAGACACTTTCTCCAATTCAATTCGATTGAGCTCGGTTATTGAATTAGAGTTGTTTTTTAACAAGATGGCTGCGTTGCAGGAGAAATTCGAGGATCTTAGAGCCAAAGGATGTAATTTGCTTGGTATTATTTCGACAATTTTACGCTTTCTTATTTAAATTTGGTTCTCATATGTTGTTTCCATCCCTTTATATTTTTGTGGCTAATTCAAGTCTCTGTTGGAACCGGTACTAATTCCTCTTCGAGCTTAACCAATTTGGTACTGTTCAGTCAACGTTTGATAAAGGGCCTCAGAACAGTTATGGAGTGCCAAACTTTTTTGAGGAGAATTAGGTTCTGAGTTGAGTTATCCTAGTTGGTATTATGAGATTAGAATGCCACTCTCCAATATAATATTTGGTTGAGATTACATTGGAATGGATGCATGTTTTCCTAATTTCCTGTTACTTTCGTGCCATTTGCCCTTCATTTTGCATGGGTGAGAATGGGGACTGAGATTGACTAATGAAGTTAGGAGTTGTATTATAGAGAAAAACCTTCTTGTAATTATTTATTTGTATTTTGCACATGGGAAGTGCTATTAATGATTGCTTTTTCTTTTATTCTTTTTCCCTACTGGGGAGTGGGATTTATTTTACCATGCATTTTCTATAATGTGCAGGTCCCCAATGCATACTCTTTTGTGCGAAAGAAAATAGAGGTTTGCCTAAACAAGGCTTCACTTGTTGCCTTGGAATGGATGGGGTTAAAATTCTAGCATCAGGTTTCGAGAAGGATGAAAAGGTTCTTCAATCATTGTCTATGCCTTCTTTTAGAGGGAAACTAATGAATGGACTTTTTGCATGATGATAATGGAAGTGATCCAATATTTCAGAGTAGCTAAATTTAAAAAGTGAATTCTTGTTTCTAAAAATTGCTGCTTATACTGCTTTTGTGAAATCTATTTATGAGATGAAAATCCTATAACTTTTTGATAAATCCTAGTAGTCAGTTTCATTCACTCAATTGAGTTAAATTGGTAACGCACAAAGTGACTAAAATACCTCTAAAAAGTGAATGAAACTGACTTTTTCAGAGTAAAGAGTAAAGTAAATTAAATAACCACATGTCTCCATAACTAATCTTTTGCTTGATGTTATGCTGAAAAGGCATGAAATTTTGGGAATAATAACCTTAGCATGAGTCTCCTCCATCTCAGTTTTGTTTTATTACTATCACCCAAATTCTTTTTTGTTTTAATTTCTTTCACTTTCATGAAGATTTTTTTATCAGTAACTATAATAGCTTTTATTAATTCAAAATAAATATATACAGAAAATTTTACAGCTTTTGGCTCTCACAGAGCCACCCCTGATCACATCAAACATACAAAGAAGCTCACAAGTGGCCTCTACCTCCCATGCTAATTGCCTAATTTCTCTCATAGCTCCTCTTGCCTAAGGTTCAACTGCTTGGCTAGTTGTAGACCTTGCAACAATGCAGAGATTTCTGTTTTAGGTGCGTCTCTGAATCCTATTGGACCTGAAAATAGGGCCACTTGATCCATGTCCATTCCTAAATACTCCAATGCCCGGGGGTCCTGGATTCCCAAATGAACTGCCATCAGACTTCATTTTTATCCTATATTTGCTTGGAGGAACCCACTTTCTTGGATCACAGTCTTTAACTTACCTTCAAAGTGATGTTTTCAATTATAGCTTCCAATCTTCTATATTTCTCAATTTTCTTTTGATGACCTGTGGAGGAAATGGGGTGAGGTGGCCGCTAGTTCTAGAAGGAGGACTGTTGTGTCTTGGAGTCCTCCTGTGAACGAGTCTCTAAAGCTTAATTTTGATGGGAGCAGTTGTGGAAACCCTGGCCCCCTCTGCGAGGGGGGGGGGGGGGTTAGGAACAAAGATGGACATGTTGTAGCTCTGTTTTTCTGGACCAGCAGGAATGGGAGACTCAACAAGGGCTGACCTGTTAGCAGTTGTCCAAGGTTTACAGCAATGGAGCTGAATTTCAACAGGTTAATTGTGGAAGGAGATTCCAAGATAGTAGTGGGCTGGCATTTATAAAAAAAAAAAAAATATAGTAGTGGGGTGGCTACAACATCTGGAGACTGTCACTTGGCAATTTAGGAATGAGCTCAAGAAGGTTAACTGGCTTGTCACTGGGGTTTCAGTGGAGTATCAATGGCAAAGGAGATTTGCCAATGGAATGGCTGTCTCGCTAGCCAAGCAGGGGGTTATTCGGGATCACTTATTCTGGGCCCAATTGTAATTTGTTTTTTTTTTTTTTTTTTTTTCTGTTTTACCTTAATTGATCTAGGATGAGGTGAACACACTTCTCCCTGGGTTCTTAACATTCCTTGTTGATAATAAAATTCTTTTTACCTATAAAAAATGTTCTATATTGCTCTTTAAACAGCCTTTTATTCCTCTGTTCCCATATTTACCATAAGATTACAGGTCTAGTAGCTCTCCACATCACTTTCATGATAATATATACACTTCTATATGTTTTGCAGGTGAAGATCGAAAAGCTAGTAACAGCAATGGGTGGGGTGTTGCATACTAGGGCAGTGTTGGATATTAGCTTTGTTATTGTAAAGAATGTTTTGGCTGCAAAGTACAAGGTAGATGCAATCACATAACAATATGTGTAGTATAACTTCTTTCTTACTCTCTATAAGTCTAATCTTTTGCTATATTTTCTTTTATTCGTGGCAATCTTCCATAACAAAGTTAATTGTTTTTGGCCTTTTACATGTCTTTAAGTGTGTGCATGTATGTTTGCATGTTTGAGTGTCTTTCTGTCTCTCTATATAAACTTTTTTTTTGGTAAAAAACTGAACAATCTTTCTATATAAACTGAAATGTATGGAACTATGGATAATGCTTGTATCAAGCAGATATCATGACAAAGACAAAGTTATCCTAACATTCCATCTTATACAAAAATTAATTATTATCATAGTGCTGCACTTTATGTGGATGAACTGATGTTTCTTTCAATGTTTTGTTGGTTGTTTCTATATTCATACTTAGACAGTTGGAAATGATACTAGCTTTTTCTTTAGATTCTTCATGCAAGTTTAATATCTTCCTCAGTTTCTCCTTTTCCATTTTTATTAAGGCTCAGTTTGGAAGGAGTACAAATACAAATATGTAGATTGCAAAACCTTGTATTTTGTATTGTTTTTATGTATTTGTACTATGCATATTTGTATTTGTACTCCTAAACTGAGCCTAAGGGCCTGTTTAGGAGGGCTTAAGCAGGCTTAAGCTCAAGTATAGCTGCTTAACAGTAGCAGCTAAAGGAAATTAATTAGGCCTTTTGTGTTTCATTTGGGTACTTTTGTCATTAAGAAAGTTGATAAGGGCAATTAAAAAAATAAAATGATAAGGGCAATTAAAAAAATAAAATTGAATGAAAAGGAAGAGTAAAATGGGTATTTTCTTTTGTAGTGAGAATGGGCTGAATGGGCCTTAGTGTTTTTTATTTCTTTGAAGTAGTGTTTTAAGTTTATGTTTGTTGGTTATGGGCTTTTTTTGTTTTCTTTAATTATTTCTTTAGTCCTGGTCACCCCATTAAGGGCATCCAGGTAATTGTACTTAATTTTAGAATTAGGTTAATAAAAGAGATCAAGGGGGCTAGAGAGAGAGAGAGGTTCAAACTCTTCTTTTCTCTCTTCCCTTCTCTTCTTCTTCCACAACCTACTGCTGAATCCTCTTTCTTCTTCTTTCTCTTCCTTTCTTTCTTTTCCTGTATTTTCTGAATTACTGCAGGTGTATTTCTTAACTTCTTTCATTAAAATTTTTAAAATGAAAACACAGACAACTTGCTTGTTTCTTCACTCAATCTGTATTATTTTGGCTTGAGCAGACAGTTGGGTAAGTGGCCCTGTGATTGCTTATCAATTTCTTGTGCCTTGAAAAGTGTGAAATCTAAAAAGTCATGCTGCGAAAGCCTTTCCAAATGGATAGTAAGATTAATTTGATGTCAGAAATGGTATTTTCCATGTTTAGCGGAGTTTCTTTTAATGCCACTTTGTGGTCTTTGTCATTCTTTTCCTTTATGGTTTTTTAGAATTTTCAATGTGGGTTTTGGTTCTTTATAAATGGAGTTTCTCATTTTTGTACATTAAGAGCAAACATACTAACCTAAGATGCTCTCAATCTGTCTCCAACCAGCAGATTGGCTGGAGTAGGGGGTGTTTTCAGGAATTCAGAAGGAAGAGTTGTGCATTGTATTCAGGACCATTGGAGGGGGGATGCATTGAAATCAGAAATGGGAAGCTTATTGCAGGGATTAAAACTGGCCAAACAACTTGGGGTCCACAATTTAGAAGTGGAAGGGGACTCTGGGGTAGTCATTTCTTGGACAAGATGCAGTACTCAAATCCCTTGAGTTTTCTGGTACAAATTCAGGGAGATTGAGAGTTTAATAAGGGAGTTAAATGTTTCATTCAAATGGGTGAGAAGAACAGCAAATGGAATGGCAGACACTCTAGCAAAGCAAGGGGCTTTTGCTTTCAGACAACACTTGTTTTGGGCAAATTTATAGACTTCTGTACTGTTGGAATGTATCTTACACCCACCCTTTTGTAACCTTCAAGTTTGATTAATAAAATTACTCTTCTACTGATAAAAAAAAAAGATCTGTCTCCAGCTGGAAGTTTACTTTGTCAGTTTGATTATTAGGTAAAAGTTGGTTTGTTTTATTAGGTGGGAGTTAGATTGTTAAAATGTCTTGCTTTAATTTCCATTATCTTGGCCCTTTATATTTTGTGTATGGCTTCACTACTAGTTGATGCTCACTAATGTAGGCATGCTGATTTAATTGATTTCCAGTGTCATGTGATGCAGCTTAGTGAACAAAGTCAGAAGGTTTAAGCATGGAATTACAATGGGATTGGAAGTAGGAAACCATTTTGTTGATAAAAATTAACATATTTTATTAATGAAATGGTAGACCTGAAATGCCCAAGAAGGCATCAGGAACAAGCACAAAACAACAAATGCTGACACACAATAAAATACACTTATATACACCCCTGTTACAACAGAGCCCAGGACCTGGCATGCCCCAGTCACAACCTTGTCTAGATACTTCTGCTCTGGTCAAAGAATCATCTAGGGAATTAGCAGATCTGGTAGTCCACTTGAACAAGCAATTCAAACTTCTGCCCAGGAAAAGTGCTTCCCTAACAAAATCTGAACCTCCAAGGGGGGTCCTCTTCAGAATTTAGCCAAGTAATGACCACCTTACAATCCCCTTCAATTAGTACATCCCTCCAGTTCTGTGACTTATTTGGGGAGAGAGAAATGCAAGATTGTTTGAAAAAAAATAGAAACTAATGTAGAAATACTTACTGAGTTAATTGGAATCAAAGTTGTTTATTGGGTTATAGCATGTGGAGAATTTTTCTCTAGGTATTTCTACAGTAGGAAATCATAATGATGCATAGAAAAATGTTGAGCTAGGAAGCATGAGATCACAGTGATAATATAGAAAGTTGTGAACACAATTAGTGAGGTGCATATATCATGGAAAGTTGTAAACACAATTACAAGCACCTGTAGGGATGACCATGGACCAGGTTGGGATTTTACAGGGTAATAAGAGCATTTTGGGCTGCCCCGGCCTGGCCCGACCGACACACTAGGCCTAATAATACCATGGTTCAAAGTATCGATACGATATGCCTGATACGGGGTGTATTGTATCGTATCTTTTGAAAACGATACGATCCGAAACGCCTGTTTCCAGGTGTTTTGGACCCCCGATTTTTTTTAATAATAAAAAATATCTTATAAGCTTCCCAAAAAACTAAACTTTAAAAAAAAAACTAAAAAAAAAAAGTATGTATTGGTCGTTTCTAAGTACCGATACGATACGACCGAAACTCGTATCGTATCGATACTTTGAACCTTGGATAATACATGTATGTGCAGGGCCGGATATCCAGGCATGCTTGAATAAATTAATGAAGCTATATTTTTAAATTAAAATTTAAACCAAATTTATATTTAGAATACAGAAAATGTATTTAATTTTTTACTATATATACATATATACATATACATATACTATACTATACTATACTATACTATACTATACTATACTATACTACTATACTAAACTTATGGGTGGGGCCAGCTGCCTGGGCTGGGGCAGGCAATGCAGTGTGGGCCCAGGGAAGAAGTGGTCATCCCTAAGCACCTGTCTCACAAAACTAAGCCAAAGGAAGATTACAACCTGCTCTCAAAAATCTTCTCATGACACATCCTTGAATTCATGATGAGCAAGAGACCATATTTCAACTAGAAAGCAAATATTGGATTGCGCTGTTGTTATGGGTGTATAGATTGTTAGAGACGTCAGACTTGTTCTTTTGTAAGCTTTCTAGGATTTTATGTGTCATAAAAATATATTTTGCACACTGAATGTTAGAGTAACTTATATTGATTAGTCAATTCTGTGGGATGGAGCTCAAATTGATAATTATTTCTAGTTCCACTGTATCCATTGTTGCAGCTGCCATTGATTTTTATCTTCTCTGGTGTCTGTAAATTTTATTGTCTTGTATCTTTACTGGATTTAGGTTTAATCTGCAATCTTTTAATTTTTTGATGATTGATGTCTATTTATCTTAGTAGCTATAGCTGCCATGCAGCTAGTTCAAAATTTTCTGTCTGTTCTTTTCTAACCAACTTCAATGAGATATTATTACTGATTCATTTCAAGTTTCTTTCTTTTGCAGTGGGCTTCAAGCATTCTAAAGAAACCAATTGTCACCATTAATTGGTTGTATCAATGCTGGAGTGAGCACCGTGTTGTGCCTCAGGATCCCTATAGGGTTCCTCCTTTTTCTGGGTTGACCATTAGTGCTACCAGAATCCCACCAGGTTGACATATGAAGTCAAATATTCTTTAACTAAACTGTGATATTAGCTTTCTCTTAATGCTGTTTATGTTGAGCTATTTTTTTATATAAGGGTACTAAGGTGCTCATTTCATTCAGATGAGCGGAAGGAGATTGAAAAGCTTATATTGCAGAATGGTGGGAAATATTCTCCTGATCTAACCAGAAATTGTACACATTTAGTTGCTGATATATCCTTTGCAACAACTAAAACTTATGCCTATTCCTTAGAAATAGGTGTTTTGACTTTTGGTCTTAAGAAATGTTTTATTTATCACTTCACTTTTGTGTGTATGCCTTGTACATTTATGTTTCAAAATTTTCTGGGGTATCCAACCTGCACTGTTGCAATTGGCAAAGTTCTGACATGGAATTAGGTGATACACCAAAGATGGTCAATTAAGTGGTTTGTGAACATGCCACATAGTAGTTACTTGAATTATTAAGATTGACATTCTTCCTTGCCACTTTCTAGCTAAGGATCAAGAAGCTAGGCTTTGCAGGAGTAGGCTTTTTTATGTGGATGATCATGCTGTAATCCTACTGGGATGACATTGACACTTAGACTAAATTTGAAGTTTCTTAATTTATCTTCTTTACACTGATTCCTGAAACATATTTTCCAGAAAGCCCTGAATCAAATAAAATCTGTAAGGATGGTATCATGAAATGACAAACCCATTTCACAGTAACTATATATGTGTGACATTGTTAGATTCAACAGGAAGTTGTTTTTTGCTTTTAATGCCAAACATCTCTATATTCTATCATTTTATGAACTAAGACAACAAGAGGAGGGATTATATCAGCTTCAATTTTATGGAAGCATGAAAAACAACCTGATAGGCTGATTCTGCACTCCTGGTAAGCTATTGTGTTTCTATTGATGAACCTTTAGCTGCTCAAATATCTTGGAGGGCTATGAATTCTCCACTTTTGGAATACTATGAAGTCAATAAGTGGTAAGAGGTCCAGGATCATTGGGTTTTATATGTGCATGCTTGAGTGAAGAACCTTTATATCATTAGTAATTAGTGGACCTCCTAGGGTGGCTTCCTTGTTCCCATTTGATAGGACACATTTTTCTTTCTCCTGTGATGAATTGTTTATAACATTGTTCTGGGAACTTTTTGTTACATTTTGAACTTGAGATTTCTTAGTGGTTACTTAGTTACAGAAAGATTTATCCTTGACATTCCATAAGCTCCTGAAGGTGACAAATACATGGTTGCACGAAAATGGGGTTGCATTCATATTGTAACCAAGAAATGGGTTGTTCAATCGGTTGCTAGAAGAGGTAACGTCTGGATTTGTTGGCATGCATTATGTGTTAATATCTGGTTCTTGTTGGGTTTGTAACACATTATTTTCTGTTTTATCTTGTTATAAGGTCTTAAATATATTGTTTGACAAAAGATTTTTCTCATTTTTTATGATAGCATGCCTCGATGAGGAGTCCTATACTGTTCAGGGAACTGTTTCTTCGAGCAATACTGTGAGAGTTGGTTTAAAGGGGAAGAACATCCAAGAGAAGGGTGACAGAAGTTTTCAACCTTTCCCATCTTCAGTTATTGCAGATACAAATTTGCAGTCTGTCAAGTCTTCTGTGACTGGAGATCTTAATTTAGAAATGAGCTTCTCCCAGAACATGTCTTCATCATTTTCTGATGCTACTATCTTTAGCAAAGAGGAGAGTGTAAAACCTTGCTTGCAACCTGATAATGAAAGAAAGTTCGATGGTTGTATTGCCGATGACTCTCAAACTGAAGGTGATGATTTGTACTTGTCAGATTGCAGAATATCATTTGTTGGATTCCAGCCAGATGAAATGCGTAAACTTGTGAATATGGTGCGTAGAGGTGGGGGCTCTCGACATATGTCCTTAAATGAAAAGTTGACACACATAATTGTGGGAACACCTACGGAGAAGTAAGTCTACCTGATCTAAAATCATATTCTATGTTCAGGATCTTTTTTTTTTTTTCAAACAGTTCCCAATGAAAGATGTTCCTTCTTTTTTTTTTTATGAGAAAGTCTAATATATTCAAAAGAGTTAGATTAGAAGCTCAGTATTAGCATGCACATTTGATGTTGGACCAATTGCTTTTATACCCAATTGATGTAGGATGAGGTCTGGAGCTTAGGAAGTATTGATCGATAGAATAGTGTTTGAGGGTCATTGAATTACTTAGGCTATGTTTAGTTTGAAGGAAAAAATAGGGAAAGGTAGGGAAACCTTTACAAATCTTGTATAGGTTTCCGTACATTTCCCTTCCTTTCCCTACATTTTCCTTAAAACCAAACATAGCCTTAAGGTAAGGGTTTCTTGGTGTCAGATAGTTGATAGGTCTTTCAATCACTGAGAACTCTAAATTCTTCGGTATTGCCCACTGAGTTCCAAAAAGCTTCAGAAAATGAGTCCAGATTGTATATAAGACTCACTGCAATGAATTAGATTGGCAAATGATGTACAGATTCTTCCTCCAATCCACCTGAGCAGCAATGGTTATCCAGCACCAAACCTTTTCACAGCAAATGGTTAATAGTTAGAATACTGTCCAGAATTGCTGTCCATAAGAAAAGGAAACTTTAGATGGGACATCCACACTCCATATCCATTTTCAAGGATGTTTTCTTCATGTTGTGCAGACAACACCTTATAGAAAGATTTAATGGAGAACTGTCCAGAGTTATCAGCTGACCACCACCTTCTATCCTGTGATTGCACTTGCAAACTCACCTAGTTTATCTCACCCATAAGCGGCAGCAGCTCTTCAGCTTTCCAATCATGGGTGCTTCTTCCGAGTCTTGGGCTGCACTGAGTATCTGAGGACTACACAGGACATAAACAAACTGTAGCTAGATGCTTCCAGAGAAATGTTATAAAATAACAAAAAGTGTCATTACTATCTAAAAATACATAAAAATTTCAGAAAATCCCATATTTGTCTCTTTGGCCCCTGGATCACATATAGATAAATAAGTGGGATGCTTTGGAATGAACAAGTTGGTTCTAGTATCTCAAATAAACAGTGGCAAAATATATTTGAATATTATCAAATATGATGTAGAAATAATAAACTGACTTATTCTCTCAGTACCATATCATATTCCTTTAGAGAATGCTCCAACTGGCTAACTTTCTATTCTTTTTTTAATTTTTTAATTTTCTCAAATCACATAGTTATTCAAATGAAGTTCTTTTTAATGCTATAGACTTATGTAGGTGTCTCTCTTGTATTGGGCGACTTGAGGTCATCATGTTTTTATTTAACTATTTCTGAGAAATGCAGAAGCACATCCAAGTAGCTCAAATCTAGTATAGGAAGACTAGGAACTACTTTTCTTGTTTCTTGTGCTTAGCTTCTTCTCTTTCCTCAGTGAAAAGAAGGAAGTGAGGCGCCTTGTAGCTTTGGGTGTCATTTATGCGGTTAGAACTGCCTGGCTAGAAGATTGTGATCGAGAAAGAAAAGAAGTTCCTGTGTCCCAGAGGCATGCTGCTTATGATTTAATACTTCCAAAAGGTAATGTGGAACACTTTTTTTTTGATAAATTAATGTGGAACACTTTCTTTAAAAGGCTGTGTGGTTTTGACCTATTTTTTCTCATTGATGTTCATAGTTTAAGCCAGTGATTTAAAAGGCGCGCCTAGGCGCACGGGCGAGGCGCATTTTGGGGTATACGCCTCGCCCATGTCCTAGGCGCACTTCTTTCAAAAGGTGCACGCTTGGTGCACCTAGGTGTGCGCCTGATGCGCCTTTTTAAAATTTTGTGCTTTTTGCTTTTTTTTTTTTTGAGTCTAATGGCTGGGTCTACTCCGCTCCTGTTCACTCGCTTCGCTCGCTCACCAAAGCTCCGAGAACCCCCTATTTGCTAATGTTGTTCATTCATTCATTGCAATAAAATATCTTCTTAAAAGGCAATGAAAGTTATAAAATCATTATTTTTTATGTGAGAAATAAGAATTTCAGACCCTAACATAG